CACAGGCTCTCCCCCTTATTGTTAACTGCTACATTCTTGGGATGGACAAACGAATGAATTCATCTCAAGGCACGGCAGTAGACACGGTCTAATCTAGGCTGTGACAGATTTTACATCCTAGGGAGGAGGCAGAGATGAAAACATGTCATTGCAGCGTGCTGATCCCGCCTCTTCCCTCATCTCCCACATCCGACCCATTAGCTAGGCTTGCAGCTCCAAGTAAATTCTGAATCTCTTTACTTCTGCTCAATTCACTGCTGTTTGCCTGATCCAAGCCACTGTCAGCTTCTTCCATATCCTTCCAGCTGGTTTCCATGCAGGTCCTTTAAAAAAAACCACATTCTATCCTTGCCTTGTTCAGACCCCTCCAATGGGCTCTCACTGCACTGACACTGAACCCGGAACTTTTCACCACACCCAGATGGCCCAAGGCTTTGTGGGATCTGGCCCTTGTCCATCTCCTTTATTTCATACACCAGTTCTCTCTCTCTGCTCCAGCCACACCGGCCTTCTCTCTGTGTCCCCATGTCCATCTTCTTTCATCTTTGGCACCTGTCCACCGACGGTCCTCCGAACTATTCTCTGCACCCATACCACCCCTGCCGGTTCCTTTGGTTCTTTCTTACCATTGGGTACCGGGTCCCAGGGACCCTTTACAGAATGGCCTTCTCCATCCACTCTAAAGTAGCAGAGATCTCCCCATCACCTGCTATCACATCACCTTGTGTTATATTCTTCATAGTCTATAGCCAGCATCCCCCCCAAATCCTGTTTCCTGCTAGTGTGTTTGTTGTCTTTGCCCGATTTTAACACATTATTGCCTCTCATTTGCAGGAATCTTGTCTATTTTGTTCACTGCTGAGTTTTCAGTATATACAGAGATAACTTGGTGTACCCTGGCGAGACCCGAGACTCAATAACTATTTGTTGAGGAAAATGAATGAGCACAGAAAGCCAAGGAGGAACCGAAAACTTCACACAAAGGAAATAACTTCTTCCTTTGCCAAAATCCACCTTTGTTATTTCTAATCGCCTTGCTTCAAAGTGTCTATCAAATGTAGCCAGAAAGCAAAGTCTCAGACCTCGCAATCACTTCCATCATCTGTACCCTGCCGGGGTCCGCTGGGGGAGGGGGCATCATTCCTCGCTGTTTATTTGCAATGGCCCGTACCTAACTGAACATTATTGTGGGTAAATTATGGCTTCAAGTTCAACTTTTCAGTTGTTTTAGCTGCAGAGGTGTTTATTTGCCTTAAAACACTCCCAATAAAAAAAACACCAGCAGTTACGGAGGAAGGTGGAGTGTTGGCTTCTGACAGCCACCGAGGTCAAAGAACTGGGCATGCGTAGATGCGCCTTTGTAGTTCCGGCGAGGAGGAGGAGTAAGGTAGTGGCGTGCTGCTTAGCGCTGCTGAACCTCTCTGGTGGGACAGGCGAAGGGGAAAGCAGTTAGAATTCCATTCTTTTTAGCATCGTGTTAAATTGGCCATGAAACCGGGGATGGTGCAATTGAATTATAAGAGGGCTGAAATATTAAATAAAAGTCTTGTAGGTAGTCAAGGTGTTTGGCCAAGTTCTAGTAGAAGGCGAGGCAGATTTGAAAAATGTAAAGTGGAAAAGACATCTTCTTTGCCAAGAATGTGGCTCATTTAAAACGGGGAGACGGGGCCGTGGTGTTTGCGTCTCACTTGAGAGGTGATTCCCACCCGCACCCCACCCCAGGGGGGGAAAACCGTGTTTCTTTCTGAAGGGAAATTGAGGGGTCCTATGTCGGTGGGATCCAGCAGAGGGGCCAGGTGGGACGTGTTATTGTCGTTTCTCATTTTCTTGCTTGTGGCTTTTGGGTCTGGCCTTTTCCACATTCTCCGTCATGTCCAGGCCTTGGACAGACTAACCTGCCCGAGGAGGGTGTTCACTGTGAGGTAGTTTCCGAGCCAGGGTCAATGTCTCTGTGCAAAGAGACGGACTCAGCTCCTCAACTCAAGAATGGCAGAAAAACCACTGCCTTTATCATCATTTAAACAAAACCCTCTCTCACACTGGGTTAGTGGGAAGTTCAGTGTTGGTTATTTGGGGGGGGCATGTCCCCCTGGATGTTCAACAGCCACGTCTGGGATGGGGAGAGAGACAGGTGAGCCTTGCTTTGTAGCATTTGCTGATTTCCGTGACATAAATATTCCCTCCATGGCTGGTTTTGAGCTACCCACACGATGCCAGTGAATGCGGAGCAGGGAAGGGGTCCATGGTGACCCCGCTGATACTGTTCCCACCAGGCAGATCCTTTGACCAGCAATAACCTCAAGGACGAAGGTCACAGCAGTAAAGTGTATAAAATCATCAGGAGGCAATGCGTTTTGAGTTTTTATTACCTTTGTTCTAATAGCATCACATATTTCATTGTAAGTTTATGTAAGTTGCTTTTTAACAATAGCTTTGTTTCATAATTGGCTTGCAAATTTCCCAAAAATTTAGCACTAGGTTCTTGTTACAAGCTGGCTTGCCTTGGGCAGGGTTGAGTGAGACTTGGTATCTGAGACTTAACACAGATGAAAGCATCTATTGGTACCTCTCCTTATCAGCTCTCGTCTATCTATAGAGAGATGTGGACACTCAGTTCCCAGGCTTTGGAGAGTCTGGGATGTATCTGTAACTAGGAATCTGGGTTAGAACCACCTCCCTCCAGGGTGATGATATCCAGCTATTTAGAACCAGCCTGGTCGTCATGGCTGTGCACGGTTAGTATCTGTTCCGACTGATCGATGCCCAGGACATGCAGATGGTCCTGTATTCCGCCCCTCACTCTGATCCAGTTTCCTGCTACATCATGCTTTCTGAAGCCTGGACCGTGCTCCTGTAGGCACAGCGGCAGAGCCAAGTGCAAATCCTGTTGGGAGGCTGGTCTTCGGCCACGCGCTCCTCTGTGTCTGCTGCCTGGCACAGATGCGGCCCCCACTCACATACCTCCGGGCTTCCTGACCCTGCTTCTGCCCGCTCTGGGGATGTTCCCAAGGTGTCAGCCTCCAAAGCCCTCCAGCCTGCTTTCAAACCCTGAAGGGACAGTACGTCCACAATGAACAGATGAGTCTGTGTTGGGTCCCGGCTCTCAGTTCTGACAGCCCAGTAGTTAACGTGTCACCCCTGAGCTTGCCTTTGTGTGAGACTCTGAGACCGAGGCCCAGCCGCCCCTCTCGAGCTGGAAGTGTTCTCTGCAGTCTCACTTCGTCCTTGAGTATAATGCGTTCAGGCCGTCACAGAACGCCGCGGGCCGAGTGGCCTCCGCAACGAGCATTTTTCGTGCAGCTCTGCAGGCTGGAAGCCCAAGGTCAAGGTGTTAGGAGGGTTGATTTCTCCTGAGGCTTCTCACTTTGACTTGCAAAGGGCACCTTCTCACTGTGTCCTTTTCACAGTGTAGTTATATTCCTGGTGTCTCTTCTACGTATAAGGACACCAGTCCTATCGGATTAGGGGCCTGATGTTATGACCTCATTTTAACTTTAATCACCACTTTAATGGTCCTGCCTTCACTCACAGTCACACTGGGGGGTTCAGTCTTCAATAAACGAATTTTAAAAGGGACACGATCCAATTCATAATGACTACTGAGCACTTGAAATGTGTTCGGCCCAAATGGATATGTGCTCTCAGGGTAAAATATACATACTCTGGGTTTTTCACCATCGTTTTTGAATACCTTTCATCGTGTATTCAAAAGTCCCTCACTATTGCTTTTTAAATGTTGATTACACGTCCAGTGGTAATGCCTTGGGTATATTGGGTTGAGTAAAACACATTGTTAGAATTACTTTCACCAGTGTCTCTTACTTTTTTTAGTGTGGCTACTCAAATATTTTAAATGCCATCATGGTTTGCATTAGGTTTCTGGTGGACCGTGGATGTCCAAACACCCACCAAGGGCTGACAGGGTCATTCCTCCTGTGGTCAGTGGGGAGATACCATTCCCTGGGGCCCTGTCTGGACCGCTCCCCTCGTCCCCTTCACCCCTTTCCTTTTCCCCACCTTCTTTGCCCACAGCTTCCTGCCTCCTCTCGGGCTTCTATTATGTTGTACTGCTGGACAGGTCACAGGTGGGGATGTGGCTGAAACATGTCACCGTGATCGTCACTGTGGTCTGGCTCCAACGGGGAGACGCCGAAGGTCAACAGACCCTCCGTCCTGCCTGTAACAGCCCCATGAACACGTCCTTGTGTGTTTTGTGCTACGAGAGTCTATATTCCTTTCTCTCCCTTCAGTTACTTTGCCCAAGGCATCATTCATAACCCCACTTTGGATCATCCCAGCTCCCAGGAAGGAGTCAGTGGGGGAGGAAAACTAATCCCATCTTATCCCCTAGGGGTGAATCAACCACGATCCTCAACCTGAATTTGCTCACCCTGTCATGGAGGGAGGAGTTGGTGGGCTGGGGAGGGCTAGGAATAGCTCCGTATTCAAGGCCACGCCAGGGGCATTTTATACACAGCATGTTACCGAGGATGTTAACAACCTTGTACCACATTCATTGTGCAGGTGAGGGAACAGGGACTCGAGGAGGTTCAGTGACTCCTCCAGGGGCAGCCACTGGCAGGTTGCAGGGCCAGCATTTGAGACCAAGCCTATCCGACTCTTGGCTGCCATGCTGTAGGCCTGGAGTAAAAAGGGGAGATGTTTCTGGAGCATATGGGAACTCTCCTGAGTTGGACTCATGACCAGAAAGGAGAGCAGAGGGAATTCTAGGAAGGGACCAGCATGGGCAGGAGAGGGGTTGTAAGTCCGATACAGGTAAAATGTATGAATCTTTGCTCTTAATAAGAGCAAAATTATTATTAAGTCTGGCACAGGTACAAGGTATGAATCATTGCAGGGTTACCCTCCTGTACGGCTTCTGGTTAATGTTCAGGGTTCGAGGGGGGCACTGGGACCCGGCGAGGACTTGCAGGCACCACCCCATAGCCTGACCGCCCCGTCTAGCTGTCTGTGGGTCATTCCGTGCTGGGCTTACCCACCGGCTTCGTCTGAGGTCCTTTTTGAGGTTTATTATTTCCTTCTCCATGTACTTGATGCTCCTCACTGGCTTCTCCAGGACCTGATGGGAAGCCAAGAAGTGAAAGAAAGAAGTGTCAGTACCGCGGCTACCAGTGCGTCCAATGCTGCAGGAGGCGCACCTGTTCCTCTGAGATGTCTGAGCAGGTTGGAGGGGTCGTGGGCAGCACAGCGTCCTGTTCTACATCAGTGAGGGGCCGTGTGAGAAATAGCAAGGGCTTCGGAGACGAGAGGACCTGAGGTATGATCCTGGTTCTGTCTGGTGACCAGCTGTGTGACTTTAGACAAATTACTCAATGTCTCTGGGCCTCTGTTTCAATCGGCAGAACTGGGGCCTAATTCTTCCCTTGTTGTGACAGTTAAATGAACTGTTGTCAGATTCCTGACTCATAGCGAGCACTTATAAAAGAGAGGCCTCTATTATTAGTATTATATTCAAAGTAAAGCAAAGCCTTCAGTGTTAATCAGCTGTGTTGGTGGCGCAGGCGGCTGACTTGGAGGCCCCGGGCTCCTCAGTGCAAAGATGCAAATGCACTTTCCTCCCCGCTCTCGTGCTGCCCCCGCCCCTCAGGCAGGATTTTATGAGTGAATTTTCCAGGTAATTGTTTATGGGTTTTTCCTTTCCCTTTTCCTCTACTCATTTGCCTTGACTGGCCATAGGGGAAACCTCCCAAAGACCTAAACTCATTACCCAGAAGTTGATAACAGGCCACCATGAAGAAGAGACTTAAATAAACTGTGTTTTAACATAAAAATCACTTTGGCAAAACAATAGCAAACCTATTATCTGAACGATCCTGTCCTGCAATTAATTTCTGCAACCCTAAGGTTTTAGAAAATAATAAATGAAAGGAAATGCCAAGACCGTATGGGAGAATGTGTGCTTTCGGGTGAAGCTGGTGGGAGAATGCCAAGTGACAACTTTCCTGAGGGGCAGTTCCCTCGGTGCCCTGCAGATGCCCTCACGGGGTGCCCGCCCTCGGGCCTGACTGTTCGGCTGTTGTCCTGCACCCTGTGGGAAGAGCCCTGTGTGGGCCCCAGGGTCCCCCCGCAGATTGTTCCCCGGATGCTGCTGCGCACAAGTGCAGACTCTTGGAAGCCGCCCAGGCGTCTGGAATAATCATGCTGCATCTAAGCAATAGAATGCTGTGTAGCAATGAAAGGCAGCGATGGGAGCCTGCTCACTGTCACACACGGAGACGTTTGCGTTTTCGGGTGGCAGGACCTGTCACGGGGAGGGCTAGGTCTCACGTGATTCCGTTTGTGTGTGTGTTTTTTTTTAATGATCAGTGTGGACGTACGCATATCCAAAGATACGGGAAGCCAAGCCCCTTCTCCCACTCCCCCGCCCGTGTTGTGATTCTCTCTGGGGCTGGGATTTGGGGCTGATTTTATTTTGTTCTTTTTGCTTATGTGCATTTCCTATTACTCGGCAATGAGTAGGAATCAACTAAATAATAGACATAGAGAAAAGATTTCTTAAAATAGGTGGCCGGGTGAAGGTCTACGCAGGCTGACTGGGAGTACGCTATGGCGGGCGTTGGTGTTTCGTTAACCCTAACGAGCAGGGGGTCTGGACAGGCCGGGCACTCACTGACAGAGGTCATAATGGGGCCTCGTGCGTGAGGTCGGGGAAGGTGTGGTATCTTCCTGAGGCAGCCTCACTTACTGCCTCTGACGACAAAAGTGGGCCGTGGTGCCTGCCTCTCGGGGCCTTTGAAGTGAGAGGGAAGGAGTGTGGCTGTATGAAAGCTGAAGGGCATTTGTGCCAGGGTTGGGGGGGTGGCTGGAGCTTGGAGTCTGCAGCGGAGGAGGGAACGGACTGTCTGTTCTCGCCCACTTCCCTCCTGGTCCACCCAGGGCTGGGCACGGCAGCTCGGATTAAGGGCCGAGAGTGCGTGGCCGTCTCCCCCAGAGTACTGGTAATTGCAGCCCCTTCCCCCCCCCCCCCCCCCCACTAAATGAAGTGTGTGAAGGTACAAGGAAAGTATCAGGGGTAGCCTTGAGTAAGCTCAACGAGATAGGAAACAGTGAAATCATTTGTAAACTTTATCTCTTTGGCTATTATGAGAAATGACATAGGTAATATAACTTGCTCACCTCAATACACTGAAGTGTTTCAACTTGGACCCTTGGCTGAAAACAGGTGGCAAACCTATCAGTTTTCATCCTGAGGGATGGATGAAATGGGTGGGGAGACAGACCTCCAAGGAGTCATGCAAGGATCTCCGGTAGTACTTTTAAAAAGTTCTGTGTAATAGACATTTGCTTTTCTCATTCCTGTTATCCCTTCAACCTCCCTTTTGATACTGGCACTAGGGGGTAACATGGGGCCTGCATGGCTGACAGCAAACAGCAGAGCCCATCCCTCATCTCAGTGATTGGTCTGGGGGTGGTCAGGTTTGAGCTAATGAGATGCAAGCAGGCATTTGCCAGGGGCTTCTAGGAAGCATGATCCCTAGATCTGTGCAGGAACCTCCTTGACTGTGATCAGGGGAGCAGACATCCATGGGAGCCCTGGCAGCCAGTTTGTGACCATGAGGGGAGCCATCCTGCAGCTGAAAAAGCTGTGACGAAACAGACAGGGGAAATGAAGGAAAAGCTGTCCCTGGAGCCTTGTCGAACTGGGCAATCATTTGGAAAAAGCAAGGTTACATCCTCAGTTATACCAGACTCAGAATTAATTCCAGATGGATTAAAGTTTTAGAAAAGTATGTGTAAATATTTATATTAATTTATGGTACAGAGGTATTTTATAAATACAACATCAAGAGCAGCAACCATAAAGGAAATAATCAATTACATCACATAAAAAAACCAAATTCCTATACAGAAAAAAAAAAAACCTAAAAGGCAAATGACAAATTGGGAAAATATTTCTAATATTTGTGACAAAATATTAATGACTCTAACATAAAACATATGAATATCACAATCAACAGAAACAAAGTTATGAAACAAAGTTTCATAAGATTTCCTTTATTATTTAAACCAGTTGGAATTGGTTTTGCCATTTCCTGCAACCACAAGGTCTGTCTTTGAGATATCTCCCCTGGTGTGCCAAGGCAGCCAACAGATCAAGAATTATATTAACCAGTCCTCGTTCCCTCTCTTGGGACATCACAATCAGATGACCTTCTTCCGGTGCATTTTGTAGTGAAAGCCATGGGATGGGCCATGTCGAGACCAGACATGTGAAGTCGGGTTGCCTCTCTTCCTCATCTGCTCTTTTTAAAAAGCACCCCATCAACTCTTTCCTTTAGGACCAAAGTGACTGACTTCCTTAAAAGATATTGTGAATGACACATACTTGTGAACAAAGGAAAAACAAAACGCACTCATATCTCCCCAGCAGGTGATTTGAAAACACGAGATCAGAACCCTGCTTGATGTTGTGTCCATCACTGTGAAATGTGTCTCAAGTTTTACCCTCTCCATGAAGAAACTGCAACGCTGTCCCAATTTCAAGCATTTCCCCCTCAAATCCCACCTTGTTTTAGTGGCCTGCGCACCAGGAATTCACACCATTGGAAGAGAGCGAATTGGCATCGATCGGAACGGGTGCTGAACAGTGTGTCACAGCAAAGCCCCATTGTCTCCTCGACTTGACACTGAACTTCAGCAGGACACGAGCCTCCCCTGCCAGCCCTGCAATTATGTCAGCATTTCGGTGGATTCTCAGGGAAACCATTTTCATCACAGCCATTGTTTAATTACAATCACGGTGAGCCAGCAGCAATCACTGGCTTTGAGAGAGGGAGTCTGCTGGTCAGGACATTGGGGAACAGCATTCGCTAGCAACACATTTAAAAGTTTACGGAGCGTCCAAGAAGCACGTTCTCTACAACCTCGCTGGATGGCAGTTTCACCGTGTGTATGACAGGCCTTAAAAATACATTTCCTTTTACCCCAGCAATTCCGCTTTTATCCAAGGAAATTATGCACAAGGCTGTCTACAACAGAAATGTGGGTAACAGTGAAAAATGTCTAAATGTTCGGCATTAGGCATTGGGGTGGGGTAGGGGGTGGTGAATCACGGTCTATCCAGACAAAGGTACGCGATGCATTTGAATTTGGTGCTACCATTTAATGTCACTACCGATCTATGCTTACGGATGTGGAAAACGAATATAACTCCAAGTGGAAAACGCATGTTACGAAGTATAAAGAACTTAGATCGTAGAGAATTTTAAGATTTATACTTCTGAAAATCTATGGAAATTTCTAAAACTTTAATGTAACCTGATACAAATTATCGATTTGTATTTTGGTTTTTTTTAAATTGATTTTACAAAGACAGGAAGGGAGAGAGAAAGAGAGGGATGGGGGGTGGGGGACATCGGTGTGTTGTTCTGTTTATGTATGTGTTTGCATTCACTGGTTAATTCTTGGGTGCGCCCTGTCTGGGCGTCAAACCCGCAACTTTGGCATATTGGGACAATGCGCTAACCAACTGAGTTATAGGCCAGGGCCAAATTATGCTTTAAAATATTGACATATGGCAAGGTATATGTATCATTATAAAACAAGTGAGAAGTAAAGAAAACAAACTGTCAATACTGATGTTATCTCAGGGTGTTTGAATTATACATAAATAATTTTTAATTTGGGTTATCTTTCTTCCTCATTTTAAAATAATTTGAGTGTATTACGCCTGTAATAAAGTAATGGTGTCTTTCATGTTTATAGAGCAGTTCTGACTAATTCTACGCATAGAAGCAACATGTAATTTTTCGGTGCCATTTAAAATTGAGTAGCATCAATGTCTGGAATGAAGTAAGTTATAGTTTATTTTAATGCACTGGCTCATGCAGGGTCTAGGCAGGAAACCAGAGCTCATATGGGTAGTTTGGTACAAGAATTTACTGTAGGGGCACAGTTCCAGAGGTGTTGGAAGAGCTGAAAAGCCCCGTAAGGGATGGCAAGACAAACCAGAAATGAGCAGGTTCTACCCTGTCCCTGGAAGCTAGCTGGCAAGGGCGCCTGGGAAATGCAGTTTACAAGGACCAGCCCCCGCTGTGGGGCGAAGGAAATGGAAATGAA